ATATATATATATATATATATATATACACACACACACACACACAACTATTTCCATTGCTGGCACTGGAGATGAAATTTGCGTGTAATCCTTAGGAGGTTTACTAAATTCTTGGTTGGAGAACGGGCAACGGAGATCACGTACCCCGAGGTACCTAAGGCCACTTCACACCTCACTCCAGTCATTCAAAATTGTGTCCTAAGTCTAAGACACTCCGCCTACTATAGCTTCATATTTTACTCCCAGCATAAGAAATCCTTTAAATGTTCAGGGAAAGAGCTGTAATTCCATATGCCCTGTAATTTTCTTTTCACTCTTAATCCTCTGTGGTCTTCATTGAGAGAGGGCATTGTATCCAAGAAACAAGATGTATATGCAAAAAAAAAAAAAATCTTAGAAATTCAAAATATTATACCAGAAGTGAAAAACCCAATAGATGAATTAGGAAGTAGTGATAAATCTTTACAGAGCAGAGAATAAAAAAAACAAACAAACAAAAATAAAACAAAAGATGAGAAAGTTAGATTAAGTTCAATGTTAGATTTTTATTTTTTAAATTTATCTTTATTGTTGAAAGTATTACAGATAGTTCCCCTTTTTTCCCCCATTGATCCTCTCCATCCTGCATCCACCTCCCTACACCCTCCCCCCCCCAGGCCTTCACCACACCATTGTCTGTGTCCAGGGGTTATGCATATATGTACATAAATTTTTTGATTAATCTCTCCCCACCCACTCCCCCACCCCGCCTTCCCACTTCGATTCATCAGTCTGTTCCAGGCTTCTATGTCTCTGGATCTATTTTGTTCCTCAGTCTATTTTGTTTATTAGATTCCACATATGAGCAAAACCATGTAAAACTGAATCAGGAAGAATCAGAAAACCTGAATAGGCGGATTACAACTGATGAAATCGAAGCAGTAATAAAGAAACTCCCAGCGAACAAAAGCCCTGGTCTGGGCAGCTTCACACTGCCAATAAGAGACATTTATTATTCCTTAGGACTGGTCATTTCTGATTTCATATACTATTTTTGAATTTTTCATACCTTAAATCTCTTAAGATAGCTTCAGAGTCTCAAAAGCACTGTAATGACCATCATTTAATTCTTCCACTTTGACAGTGAAGCTGAAGTTAAAAGAAATGTTAGCTCAGCCAGCGTGGCTCAGCAGTTGAGCACTGACCTATGATCCAGAAAATCATGGTTCAATTCTGGTCAGTGGCATTAAAAAAGAAAAGAAAAAAAAATACAGGAAGGCCTACTTCAAGCAACAAATGAAAAACGATGTATGCACACTGACAGTAAGTGCAGTGCTATACTCCATACAAAATGAGGCAGGAGACTTTACAAACAGTTGATAATATAAAACAGTGGTTTCCAAGGAATGGACTTAATCAGACCTATAGAGAGCCCCAGAGAACTTTATTTTTAACAAGGACCCCAATAATTCTAGGTTTTAATTAAAAGTGTGGTTTGGGGAAGCAGTTTTAACCTTCATCATGTCAGATGACGTATACAATAAACTTATATCACATATCATGTAATTGAACAAAAAATAAATTTATATAAACTATTAATATATACCTAAATACATTATTGTTTTTAAGCTGAAACTGTGTGTTTATAGTTGCATTAATAAAGATAAGTACACTAATCAAAAGCTATACAACATTAACAGCAAATCCAAATGCGAACAAAGATATTCTTCTGAATTCCATGTTTCATCGAGCATCAAAAACCACCACTGTATTAAACTGAGTTAAGGACAAAAAGTATTTAAAAGTTATATAAAAGACTTAATACTTCCAAGTCACTTTCTCTTTACAATAAGCTAGCTTGTTATTTAATCTAAAATGAACAAAAGTATGGAATTCATCATTATGACAACTAGAAATAAATTTTTTTTAAAAACCATTTCAGTTTTTATTAGCTGTTTTTCCATGATACAAAAGACTAATGCACCAAAAAACACTTTAGCAATGTTATAGGTGATAACTTACTGATTTTAAAAATATTGTCAGTTATTATACAATTTCTTCAGTCTTTCAACTAATTTGGAAGCCTCACTTTTTCACTTGGTAGCATACATACATAATGCTTGTATTTCTCCTTTTATAATTTAGTTTATCCATAAACTCAGGGTCACGAATGAGTAGTTAAATATAGAATCCCTGAAAATTAGACTTATGAGAACCAAAATCAAGTAGTATTAAGATTATATAGTATACAACTATATAATGGCATACTGGTCCATGAAAATGCTGAACATGTATTTTTTGTTGTAAGTAATCCAAAAGTTACTACCATTTTTACCAGAAATTAGTCTTTGACTATCGACCTAAGCATTATTCTTAACTTCCCCCTCCCTCTTATTAAGAAAGCATAGTTAAAAGGATACATCTTTTGGTCCTTTTCTTGTACATTATTCTGTATCCACATTCTCTGCATCTGATTGGATCCCTGGATTTTATTTCATTTTCTGTGTGACATTCTAGAAAAGAAAATACATTAATTATTTAAAAGGGAAATATTACAGATAAGCGAATTATCTGAACAATACTTTTCATCCAAATCACTAAAATACACTCTACCTCAAGGCTATGTTTTTATTACCAACATGTATTTTTTTTGTTAATCCTCACTGGAGGATATTTTTTCCCCATTGATTTTTAGAGGGGAAGGGAGGAAGAAAGGAGGGGTGAACAGAGAGAGAGGGAGAGAAACATGGATGCCCCCAGAATCCAATCTGAGACCCTTTGGCCGCAGGCAACGCTCTAACCTCTGAGCCACACCAGCCAGGGCTTATTACCAATATATTAAGAGGGAAAGAACAGAGTTTGGGCAAGCACTTTTTCTGGAGAGAAAATTAAATCTTGAGAGCATTTTTATGGTTGCTAAAGTGTTCTGCTTTATAACTTTAAAGATGAGTGACTCATTTAAGCCAAATAATTTTAAAAACTGAAAGAAAATAGTCTTTATGTAAGTGCTACTCTTACCTCCACAGATATATATCATCGGCTGCTGCTTTGGGGGCTGGACGTCCTTTTGGGTGTCCATTGTTAGTCCCTGAAACCAGATTGAAATACTGAGTATCACAAATCCAAACACCCTCATTTTTCTCAGGGAAAGCTAAAAGGTTTTCAATTCCTAATCTGTACTTTTTCAAACACTATGCATAGGCCTAAAGGACGAAATAAAGAACAAAACCCCCCAAAACATACGGCGCACTTACCCCCCAAACTGGACACGATAATAAAAACTTCACACGTTACTTCATTTATACCTGTTACTTTATTATAACCTTTGCAACAACCCTAGGAAGTATTACTTACTCTTATTTTACAGATGAAGAAACCCCAGCCGGGAGAAATTAATACGCGCAGGATTATGAGCAGGCAGAGGAATTCAAAACTGACTGCAAAGCTCGCGTTCTCAGCACAAAAGTTCCATTTCTCCAAACTTTAGCAGGAGATAGCCAAAAAAATGATCTCTCTCAACAGGGAAACATGCGACCCGAAGATATGGGAAGAATAATGAAATAACTCCCAATGGGTAAACAACTAAGCTGAAAGAAACCAGGCAATGGGCTAACAGCATCGACTCTATTCCCAGCCTCTCCCAACTCAAACCCCACACCGGACCTTTAATCCCCGAGTGTCTTTCCAGTTTCGGCCTAAATACCCACCGCAAAATTGCAACCAGGCAATCTCCGGACTCCCGTAGCACCCACTAACTCCTCAACGCTGAGACTCCAAAAGGCTATGGCGCTTCGAGGTGGCGCAGCCAACTTCCGTCACAGTCAACTTCCGGCGCTAGCCTGTGACGCAAGCGGAGTCTCCGCCCTCCTCCCTTCAGGCCTTGGGCGGGGCCGAGGTACCCGGATGGAGCGGTGGCAGAAAAGCCGGGGTTTTTTGCCTGCTGTGCTGCGGACTGGAATTCCTGTTTCGCCCTCAGCTGTTTCCATTTTTCAGGAACACAAAGCACGTTTACAGTTCCTCGAAGTTTCACGAGGTTTGTCTTTCTGGTTAATGAAGACGGTGGAAAGGAACACGTCTCCCCGGGGGCAGAGGGTTGGAGAGAAACCGAAATGGCAGGTGCCCGCGGGATCCCAGGCGAACCGTTCCTCCGGGAGCGCAGAAGATCGTCTCCATCGCTGGTTTTGACGTAGAAAAGCACTTCTCAGTTGACGTGTTTCAGATCATTTGATGTCTGTGCTGGGGCAGTGCAACAGCCGCCCCCTCTCCGTCACATAATTTTGTTTTCGCCTTTTGGCCCTTTCTCAGACCCCTGCCTTCCCTGCCACCCTTTCCTTTTCTCGTTTTCCCGCAAAGCCTGGCCCGAGGGCAGCGACATCAGTCACTCCCACTTCAGCGAGGGGATGGGGTGGCGGCCGCTGTCCCTCGGGCCCGTGTATTCCTCCCCGGAGCAAAAACCCACCTGCCCGGTACCGGTGTTTTCTCAAAGACTGACATTTCAGTTGGGTTTACAACGTTTACATTTGTTGGATTCTTTCACAGCAGGTATTTTACTTAGGAGAAAATGCAGTTACTAAAATTTATTTCAAAACTTAACCAGTTGTTAGTAACATTTAATTAGCCGGAGAAGCAGGTTTCTTCTTCCCTCCGTTCACCGCGTCTTCCGCGCAGGCCGCCCTGCTTTCCCACCTTCACCCCGCCGCGGGGGCCTTCGGCTGCACCTCTCATTCCCGGCCCCAGCCGCTCGCCCTCCACAGACCAGTTTGAGAGATTTAACTTCATCTTCCCAGTTAATTTTTAATTTTTCCAGGAAAACACAGCGGAGTTTCCTGCTTTTTCCTCCACAGGCAGGCTAAACTAGAGCATAAATATTTTGGCCATCAGCAATGTGCCTTACTCATCTTGGGATTTCCGGTACCCAGACCAGTGACTGGCACATAGTCGGAGCTTAATCATTGTCAGTGAATTTGAGTTTATGTCATATCCTGTGTATATCTGTACTTCTAACCCAAAAGGGGCCATTCTGTTTGTAGCCTGCTTTTTGGACTTATCTCTGGAAACATTTTTAAGTGAATATTCCCCTACATTATTTTTACTTTTTTAACTGCAATATTTAAAAAAATATATCTATCTATCTATCTTTATTGATTTCATAGAGAGGAAAGGAGAGGGAGAGAGAAACATCAATGATGAGAGTCATTGATCGGCTGCCTCCTGTCCTGCCTCCCCCCCCCC